CGGTTTGCTAATTTCAACGGACATGTAGTATAGAGGCGTCTGCAAGGCCGGTCGGGTGCATAGTAGCGAAACAGACAAACCCGGTCGATTAAACCATCAATAGAGATCAGTGTCAATGAGCGTTTGTTAACAAAGAGAGATGCCGCGCCATGCTGGGTCACAGGAGCAAGTGAAGGTGAAGGATGATGAGGCAGTTTGACATAACAATTTCTTCCTTTTGCTTCTTGTTTGAAACTAGATTCTTCCCGGTGCGCTTCATTTTACAACTTCATATGATCAAAAAGATGAATATTGGGAGTTACCCACTTCTAAACACTGCATTTTACGACGCATTTCCATCTTATCTGATCTCATCAGTTAAGGATAGCAGGCATAGAAGTAGCGTGCAAAGCGCTACCGTCGTGGCTCAGTGGCTGAAGGGGTGAAGGTCCCAACTAAATTCCCAGTGATCCCGCTTTCGAAGCCCGTTATCTCTACCTGCTGCAATCAGATAAGGTCGTAACGCGTAGTGGAGTGGTTTGAGTCAGCAACACCCAATTTTATTTGCGTCATCAATTTCTGTCCCGGCGACTGAACTGACCATGGCTTAGTCCAAAGGGAATCACCGTTCACACTGAGATTTGGCGTCATAATCTATTCATGCAACAAGTACTGCAAAATGATTCTCTAATCCTCCCCCTGTTCATTCTCTGGGTGCCATCCATCCCGCTTTCATCTGTGTTAACTGGGTTTGCCGCTGCTAGTAATCTCATGGATTTAAGTGTCATCCTAATTTGTCCTACTCGAACAGAGCCAGAATGACAACTGTGGGATTCGTACTTCCGTTGGAGTACTGCAGCCTCAGCAACTATTTAAATAACCGACGGTTCCTATCTGTACAAAATGTTGTGATAACAGTATTACGTTTCTGTTTCCCTACATACTTTCGGGTAAAAACAATATAGTCGTTTGCTCATCCTATGTAAGTATCTTTGCTTAAAATAGTCCTCAACATTCAGTGTGATAAAGAGGGTTAATTCTCTACCTACACGCCAATTATGCATGCATGCACAGTACTCATTTTGAATGTGTAATACATACGAAGAGCCAACAGCTCACCATTCCGTAATTTCCTGGATATTGATACTTTTTATGGCACAGCATAGCTGGAATGAAATCCATTCACAGATCGCAAGCTATCTATGACGGTGTGTTGTGCCACGATCTATTCGATACTTGAAGAGAATCAGGTAAACAGTGTCTACGAGCTAACATACAGGGTATAAATGGTAATATGACACCCATGTGACTGCTAATTGCACCGAAAAGCCTGCAATAAACAAAAACGACTTGTTCGAAGCTATGGGAACAGAGGCATAAGGCTCACAATTAACTGGTGCGTTTAATGTCTGATATATGTCCGAACGAGACCACATACATAGGGAGATGGACTATCGTGCATCTACAGGGTATGCCATATGAAGAACGATGTAAGAAACTAGGGCTGTACACCCTAGCATATCGTCGGCTGAGGGTTGACCTAATCATGACGCACCGGATATTACATCTGAGTGATTACCCCATGTTGAGACAACTGCTTCATCTGCGCACACCAAGCAGCACGCGAGGACACCGGTACAAACTTATCGTACCGCAGTTGAAGCGTGTAGCTCACCAACTCTGTTTCGAACGTAGAGTGGTGAATACCTGGAACAACCTGTCGCAGCCGGTAATAGAGGCGAATTCATTGGCCGAATTTAAGAAGCATCTAGACAAACATTTCGCAGAGGCAAAATATAAAGAGCGCAAACGATAATTAATAGGTTGATGTCCAAGAGCGACAATTGATGCAGCTACCCAGAGTATGCTCTCCTCGCTGCTTCTAATCAGTATCAGCATCAGTATCAGTATCATTTGTTTCGTCCATCACACATGTAATATTATAGATGTAATGTTGAAAACTCGTATTCGTATCCTTTGGTTTATGGAAAATCCGGTAGATTTCACGTGACGTTTGTATGAAGTCTTTTCTTGGCACTATATACAAGTATCAAAATGGCGCATATAAGCAGATCGAGTGTTGAACAGGTGAAGGCTGTAATGTTTTTACAGCAAGCAGCAGTTTTGTATTGACACAAAGAAGTTTCCTTGCACACGTTCATACGAAATGGGCTCCGTGTAAACAGGCTATTGAGAGATTGTATCGCCAATTTGAAACAACTAGCTCTGTGGTGGAGAACAAGCGACGGCGCAGACCAAGTGTCCGCATCCTTGCAAATATGGAAGCAGTTCGCGTTTGTTTTGACACGAAGTCCTAGCAAACTAAGGAGGACGGCTGTTGAGCTAGGAATATCTCCTCGGTCCATACAAAGGATCTTGATCTTCAAGTGTTTACTTACAAGGTAATATTTGTCTATAAATTAACAGCAGGGGAAAAGCAACGGAGACAGCAGTTCGCGTCATGGTTAGTGCAAGGAGATCACGTTCTTTACAACACGTGGTTTAGTGATTATGGGTATTTTTAGTTAAATGTTTTAGTGAATAAGCAAACTGTTCGTTTCTGGGCAAGTGAACGTCCTCATACCTGCACTAAAGGGAATCTTATGAAGAAATGGACAGTGTATGTACGACAAGTTCATCCTATGGAGTCATATGACCCATTTTCTTTGATGAGACCACCATTAAACTAGGAGGACCTGATATACCTTTGCTACTGTTGAGCATGTTCACTCTATCGCTGGAATCTGGCCACTTTCCAGATCAATGAAAAACGTCTTTTATTATGCCTCGGCATAAAGGAGGTCACAAACAAACGACTGATAACTACCGACCAATCCACCACACTCTGATAATCGCTCGGCTACTTGAAAAACTGGTCAGAATGGAGATGATGAACTTTGTTGATTCTATTGGCCTGATTAACAATTCGCAGCATGGTTTTCTCAATAAGCGATCGTGCACCCCCTGTCAACTGCATTAGCTTAATCACATTTCAGAATCAATCGATTCCGGCTATACAGTAGTAATCTGGTTTCTTGACATTCACCAAGCGTTCGACCGAGTACCGCACAAGCGACTGCTACAAAAATTGAATAACTTTGGGATCCGGGACTCATTACGAGGTTGGCTATCGTCATACCTGAGTGATCGTCATCAGGTAGTCCCTTTATGTGATTATCGCTCTTCCCCACTCTCAATCACCAGTGGAGTCATTCAAGGGAGCGTGCTCGGCCCCTTTCACTTTTTGCTCGACATCAATGACATCACCACATCTGTAAAACTTGGTACATCCGTTTTATTTGCTGACGATATCAAAATCGTCTATAAGTTTCGGGGTGACGAGCTTCACGGGACATTACAGCTTATTCAAGATGATTTACATTCCCTTGAGTCATGGTGCTGCACGTGGGTGATGAACCTCTCGGCTAAGAAATCAAGCAGCATGTCTTACGGCTGCTACATCCCCGAAGGATCTATCACCCTAAACATTGAACGCATCCCTACACACTTGTCCACGCGAGATCTTGGCATTAGGTACTCGTCTACCTTCAATTTCTCCGAACAGGCCCAGTACCAGGTAGCACATGCCAGACAGTATGTTCAATATATCAAACAAAATACACACAACTCGTGCTAGAGTTGAGCTTTTCAAGCTACTCACTCGACCCATCCTCGAATATTGCAGCATAATATACGGAAATATTAGAAAGAGTGACAGGATTGCTGTGGAGAACCTGCAGAGGTCATTTACTAAACATCTGATTGGTAAACACTCTGCTATAAGTTATCGAGAACGTTGCAATGAACTTCATCTTGAACCACTTTGGATTCGACGATTGAAGCACAACTTGTTGCTGCTTTTTGACATGTTGCACAAAAAGACCTATTCCAACCTGCTTACACTCAATTTACAACATTGTTCAACTCGAGTGCATCGCAACAAAGATTTTGCATTGCATATACGGAAGGCTAGAACGAACGTCCGCTCTAATTTCTTCCTGGTCAGATTTAGCTATCAGTGGAATAAAGTACCAATAACACTCAGGTCATGTGACAATGTGACAACATGTAGTATCAGACTCGCCAATTACCTTGATCTCACTACCCTAAGCTCTATATTGACATGGTAAAAATCACTCGATGAGCTATTCTAAGAGGGGCCCAAAAACATATAATCACCAATGTTTTCATAATTAGGCTTTGGCCTCAACCATCCACTAGAATGTTAATACGTAAAACGTATATCCCAATACTCCACTATGCATGTCACTCATGCAAGAGCATGGATTCTTTTGTACAAATTGATCGGTGCCGCTATAGACACAGTTTCTTGCATCAAGAGAAATATACCTATAATAATAATAATAATAATAATTATTATTATTATTATATAAGGGCATGTTGGAAAACATTTATTTCAGAACTCTTGGCAACAAATCTCTCATTACAAACGTAATGGTTCATGCAAGACTTGTTACGCCCACACACTGCAAATGTTGTTCTTGATTACTTGGTTGATGTGTTTGATGGGCGGGTAATGTCACACCGGTTTCCTGAGCGTCACCAATTTAGGGAAAACTGTCCTCCGCATAGCCCTGACATCAATCTATGTGATTACTTCTTGTGGGGTCACTTGAAAGATATTGTTTTCGCAAGGAAGCTTGCAAGTGCAGTTCCACTCAGGGCTCTCATCATGCAGTTGTGCCGTCTAATTTTGGAAGGCTGCAGGCAGGTTGTGACAAATGTTGGGATGTTGGGAAATAAAACAGCGATCGCATTGAACAATAATACATTGAACTAAATTTTCATTCGCATACAATTAATTCTGCACTAAGTTTGTAATATTTTGACGATAAGTCCATGTGTAATTAACCAAACAAATGGCATTGCAGTTCGTGCGCCACTCTGTATTTTGTATGAGTTGAATTGATCGAATACGCATTGGCAAATGTTAAATTGAATAAATAATAGAAAAAATATGTGGAGAAACCAGTGGGTCAACGTGTCACATCATTTCAAACATGTGCAAATGTAGTTTGTCGCCATTGTATGTGGTTACCTATATTCTTTTTCTGACAGGTATGAACTCCGGGAGGATCGTAAACGCGAAGTCGCCCGCACAATTGGCCACCTGGAGGGTTTGAAGCGTGAGTTGCTAGAAGAAATCGGTAAGCACTTCTCCACTGTGAAACAACTGGTGACATCCGAAGGGAGAAAAGCCGATGGAAGGATGAGTCAACGATCTACCTCGGTGCACTTGTCTCCTGTGAGTGCGGATGACATCTTTCGTCCGCCCGATTTTGTCACCAAGACTGGTGCAACCCAAACGGTTGCTAGGCCAGAAGAGGTTGGAACACCACAGCAGTCTGCCCAAGCGTATTCACTCTCATACGGAAGAGAAACACAACATATTTATGATGAAATAAAGCAGTTGGCCTTGATCAACACGGCTTACGGTGGGGTTCCTGCAAATCTGCCAGCTGAACATGCTCTACATTCGGACAATTTGGATCAGTTTAGGGAAGACATTTTGCGTGGTGTGCGCAATGAAATTCGACAACTGTTGCGACCGACAGGGTCTGCCATTTATGACACACAAACTGCCCCGGTTATTGTCCGAAGCTCAGAATGTGTTACTTGCTCAAGTACAACAGTGTGCCAATCCGCTTCAACCAGTCGCACAACTCCGATGGTCACCGTTATAGCGCCTGTGAAGCATTTCGGGTCATCTTCGGCTACCACTACTCGGACAAGTCAACCACCAAGGCCGCTTCTCAGACAGGCCCGCCGGTCCATTAGCCCTGCGGAACCGGTGGAGCAGCAAACACAGGTTACGCACAGACGAAGCGAGCAAAACACATCTAGAACAACGGCGACATGCGACGCACAACATGCATCGGAAAGCGGTGATGCTGGTGGGGACCTTTTGTCCCCTAGGTGACAGCGAACCTATTCCATGAATTTCCACAGCAGGTAACATGTGTCTTTCTTCCACATCATGCACCTAACTTTACTATTCATCATGAGACAAGATATCTTACTTCCACAGTTATCACATATTACAGAAACATCACTGCGCATTGCCACACTACTGAAGATACACCCAGGTATATACGGATAGGTTGGTAGTGCCTGAAATTTAATCAAGCGGTGAACTTTTTTACCCATACTGTCTCTATTTTTCAACGTTAGTTTTCCGATATAAAATGTATTCCTCTACCACGTCTCGCAATCTCTCCCGTGATTCCCTTTCCATATTGTAATGCAAGCCTGAAAAATAAATTACCCGTGGGTAAATTTTCGCTAGCAAGTTGTGCTGTTCTTGAACTAATAGGGCGGCAAATCAAGACAAAGGAGTACGTCCACCTTTCGAAGACCCACAAATCGCACAAATAGCGGGAGTTATATTGTGGACTAAACTAAGTGGCTTCTTTTTGCCTATGATAAGCCCGAGGTTTGGGAGGCAAACTGTTTCAGGATCACGAAACTATTCTCGCAAAGCTACACTTTTTGAAATCAAAATCCAGTTTGCGAAGAAGCGCTTTATTTTTGATAAATCTCATCAGGCATTACATTTATACGATTGTACATAAAATCAATATACCAGTTGAGGCCGAACTAAGCTTTATACAGGTGATTAAAACAATGCTGATAAAAGCAGGCAATATTAATGTTGATTCCTTTCGGTCAAGTTTCGTGACAGCCAGTAGGGTGGGGATCATGCACATTTGCCTTCAGGGTCCAACGCGGGAGAATTACCACGGGGATTTGGTAATGGGAGTACTTGCACGAGAGCCCTCTGTTTGAACAGTTCCGGTTGAGCACTACAGAATACCATCGCTTTCGCCGTCTTCAAGAGCCCCTTTATAAGCCCCTTGGGATATTGCTTTGATACGACGTAGAAGACATTGAAGGAATTTACTGTCCGTATCTTATTACCACTTTGAAGCAAGAGCTCCATGATGGCACTACTAAGATTTCTGGCCGTCCCCTTTAATAGTGATGCTGAACGGTATTCTGCTATCCGTTTGGACAGACGTCTGTTTGTGTGCCCAATGTATCTTACACCTTAGGTGAAAGTCAACTGTTAAAGAACATCTGATTAGGACCAAACCACGACCCTGTCCTTAAGGCGTTGCGTGATAAACGGAGCAGTCTGCGCAAGAACGCGACGGTCGACAGCTGGGTAGACTTCAGGAATTGCGTTGAAGAGTCGATGCAGATCGAAAGCAACATTTCGTTTGAAGGGAACAAAGAGAAAGACATCTTTCTTCCGTGCGGGTATGGCAGGTTCTTGGTGCATACGGACCGTGGCATGTCTTCTGATGAACAAGTCGGGATAACCGTTGTCTTGCAGCATTCCAAATATGTGGTACTTCTTGTTTGCCAAGTTTTCCGGGTTACAGAAATTGGTGGCACTATAATACAAGCAGCTCAGCATCTTTCTTTTGTACTTCAAAGGTACAAAACTTAGGAATTGGGTGTGCTGACGTACCCATGTAGCCTTTCAGAAGACACTTCTTCCATGTGATTCATCTCTTTAGCTAGACGTCTAAGCAAGCTAGTTTGCATACTTTTTAATTTCACTGGTGAAATGCTGCGAAGGATGCGCCTCGTTGAGCTGACACAGCGAACTAGCAAGAAGGATATTTAAGCCACAAACAATAAATGTATCATCCATACAACTCCAGTATGCATCGAACGAAGAGATAACTGATTAGAGAGCACCACCTTCAATTTTGGTTAAGAAGATATCCGCAAGAAGCGCCGTGTTGTAGACCCTACAACCACACCGTCTATCTGATTGTTATGCACGCCATCAAATTAGAACCGTCTGTTTAAGATATATGGCAGGAAACAGCTCCTTTAGTTTGTACAATTAGTTTGCTGTTTATATAATCCTTCCACAAAAAGTGGAATCCCAGGGACACTAGAGAAAGAAAATAATCCTGTTTTCAAAACGACACAGAAAACATTAACATTATCAGAGTGCGCATCACAGTTCATGAATGTTTAAAAACGACCTCAACTGCACCAAAGACGGAGCATTTTGTCACATTTATCTGCAACTGAGATATCGCGTTGGATTACGTAAACTGCAGACTTTTGAATGCAGCAGCCATCGCGATCAAAATTCTTCTGGGCAGCTACACTTGATGCCGAGTGCTCCGCTAATTCTCCAGCAAGTCAAGGATAGGTTCCCGGCCACGCTTTAATCCTATAATCTGTCAGTTTGCTTTGAAAATTCTTGGAGTAAATGCGGATAAAAACATGGTGTGTCGAGACGAATAACTGGCCACTGCCCACATTGTGTCCGGAAAATGTAGACCAATCTGGCTTGCTGTACGAGTCTCACATGGCAAGGAACACACCACCGGGAATAGATTTGCCATTTGTAAAAATATTCATCAGCTTCCCTATGAATCTCACTTCAAACAAATTTCTGATGCTCTGGCCACCGCAGAGGATAATCAACGGTACCCTATCTGTTACAACGAGCAGGGTGGATAGGGGTTTGGATGCAATTACTAAAGCCTTCCCGTCTTCTTATTCCCCCGCTTACGCTTTTTCACCCTTATTGTTCCAGCTTCACTTTTATCCCCCCTGTTTTCAACCCCCCAATTCTCGGCCCTCCTCACCTTCCTTCAATAGTCGCTTGTCTTTTAGTTTCAACTCACATGTGAACGCGGAACGTCATTCCTGCCCTGTCAACAGGCCCCTGTCCGAGAAGCGGTCAAGCCCAGTTCATCGGCTTCCATTTGGAGCTCTCGATCCTCCTTCAGATTGGCATGCCTCAATGTTCGCACATTGCTTCAGATCGGTCAACAGGCAGCACTTGCCCGAACATTAGGGACCTTCTCAATCGATATCTGCTGCTTATCGGTGACCCGCCTGCAAGACTCGAGCTCTGTGCTCACTCTGCGATCCCCTTCAGGTGACACTAGCAGCACTTTCTCATTGCGCCTATCCGGTGACGATGCAGCTTCGAGCACCGGCCAAGCCGGTGTTGATATTGCCCTGAGTCCCCGGGCTGAAACTGCTCTGGTTGATTGGATTCCAATCAGTAGCCGGTTGTGTGCGGTCCGATTGGCTGACTCGTTCAAAACTTCGAAGTGGCGTGTGACTAACAGGTGTCTAATCGTTATCGCTGCATACGCACCGACAAACTGTAGCGATGACTCGGTAAAAGACGACTTCTATCGTCAATTGAACGTGCTCTTTAGCCGCAGAAAATCTCGGACACTGTAGTGCTGGCCGGGGATCTGATAGCTAAAGTTGGAAAATTATCCACTGTTGAGCTGAATTTTGGCGGCCAACATGGTGTAAGCTCCCGTAATGAGAACGGTGAGCGGGTACTTCATTTGTGTGAGGATGCTCGCTTATTTCTTGCGAGCGCTAATTCCCGACACAGCACCCGCCGGAGGGTGACTTGGCGCCCACCAGCGGCGAACCAGCCTTGGACGAAAATCGATCACATTGCGATAAGTTACCGCTAGGGAGGCTGCACTCAGAACTGTCGCTCGATTGGGAGCACAGGTGTGGACACCGATTATGCACTTGTATGTGCTGACCTGCGGATGCGTTTTGGCGGACGCCCACGACGACATTGTGAGCGCATTGACACCAGCCAACTGGCAAAGCCAGCTGTTCTGGATTGCTATCAAAGTACGCCGTCATGCGAGTTGGATAAACGCTCATTGGATGCAATTGAAGGTCACTGGTCTCTTATTCACCAGACCTTACTTGCAGCAGGAAAATCCTCATGTGGTATGTCTAATTGCCAACATGGACATTGGGTCTCTTCACAATCTCTGGAACTTATAAATGCTAGCCGGCATATTTCGGCTGGAAGCGAACACAATGAAACTCGCAAAGAGCTTCTGGCAAAACTCCGTGCTAGCCTGAAGAGAGACCGCGAATCCCGGTGGTATCATCGCGCATCAGAAATGGAAATGGCAGCTGCCCTTGGTAACCATCGTAAGTTATTCTGTCTGATGCGGGAAATGGGCTGCAGGAGACCTGGTGTTAGTGAAACAATTTGTGATGAGAGTGGACATCCTATCCACAAATTGTCAAGACGCATGGTGCGTTGGGCTGAGCACTTTGAAAGGCAATTTAATCGGTCGGAATTGTTAGATTTCTCGTCGGCCACTGATCGCCCCGTTCCCTGGGCTGTCCCGCTGGATCCACCCTCTCGCTCAGAAGTCGAACTTGAGATCGGATTGTTGAAGTTCAATAAAGCCGCGGGACCTGAGGATCTTCCTCCAGCCCTCTTCGAATTCGGGGGACCTGCTCTTGTGGACAATTTACACGAATTACTAGTTAAACTATGGGAGCAGGAAACGGTCCAACCGACTGGAGGCTCTCCGTCATAGTCCCAATTTTCAAGGGAGCCTCAACATCGGAATGCGGCAGCCATAGAGGAATCAGTCTGATCTCCATCGCCTCCAAGTTGCTTGCCTCTGCCACCCTTCACATACTGACTGGCACTTGTGAAAGCCATATTCGTGAAGAGCAAGCTGGGTTTCGTCGAGGTCGTGGCTGCATTGACCACATCTCCACCTTGCGTCAGTTGTTGGAGCACCGTCACATATATTGGCGGCCCACCGTTGTCGTGTTCCTCGATATGAAAGGTTCATTCGATTCGGTAGATAGATATGCACTTTGGCACTGTATACTGAGGAAAGGTGTACCTGAGAAATATGTAAATATTATCCGAACATTATATGCGCGTAGCTCGGACAGAGTGAGGGCCTACGGCAAGCTGGCATCGCCCTTACCTATCTCCAGCGATGTGAGACAAGGATACCCATTGTCACCTTTCCTGTTTAACTTCGCTGTTGACGAAGTCATGGAAATCGCGTTCACAGAACACGACTTAGAAGGTGTGGATCTGCTTCCAGGAGAACGACTTCTTGACTTAGAGTATGCTGACGATATTGCCCTAATCTGTGACAGCTCCCAGACGTGTCAAGCGGCACTGGACAGATTAGCACTAGCTGTCCGTCACTTCGGGCTTTGCATCGCACCCTCGAAGTGCAAAGCGTTCCTACAAGATTGGTCTGGACCGCCTCCTACGCTGACCGTTGGTGGGGATCAGCTAGAAGTCGTTC